AAGAGCGGCAGAGGGTAGTAGTCTGATGCATGGACAAGCCTTGGCAGTCTTTCCATGACATCTCATATTCGAGCCCCTGGCAGGCAGCAACCCTCTCTAGACAAGAGGTCAGGTCGGCAGATAGGTCCCTCTGTCCCCTGCAGCAGGCAGTCACCCACAACAATCACTCACCACTTCTTCTGGGTGTTTCTGCATGGCACAGGGTCTGTCAGGCCAGTTGCCTCCCTTGGAGCCATGCCCAGCTCCTCCTCAGCTTGGAGGGCGCTAAACTTGTTCTTCACAGGCAACTCTCGAGGAGGAGCAAGAGCCTTTCTCCTTCTACAAGAGGTCACCAGTTTCCAGCCCTCTTCGACAGCGTCATGATGTACCGTTACACACAGCACAGAGCCCTCCAGCAACTCTGCTGCACTGGGGGGCGGGGGCTCCTGGAGCTGCACAGTCTCTGAGAATACCCTGTCTATCTCCTGCTCGACTTACTCCCATAACTCCTTTACCTGATGACACAACTGGTCAACCACAGCACACCTTCCACAGGAGAGCTGTCTGTCAGCCCAGGCCTCACAGAGAGGCCCCAGGCACTCCCTGCAGCCTGACACCTGTAGAGCTGCCTCTGCTGTCAGAGGGTCTGTCTGGGTTGAAGCCTCAGACACAGCTGATGCAGCAACTCCAGCAGCCACTGGGGAACATGCTCTGCAGCATGTCATGACCATGCCTGGGGAAGGACACACCACTGTGGAAAATGGAGAGGTACCTTCTTTGCCTTCTGGCACCCTTCTACACAAACTGCTGCCTCTGTTGGCTGTGTTCTAGGCCTGGCTCTTATATAGGCCCCTGCCTAGCAGAGACTCACAAGGGTGCTTGACCCACCCAATCAGGAGCCACCTGAAACAAAAGCCCCAACTCCCTCAGAGAGCTCGTTAGCAGCAGCCCCACCTAGCTAGAGCTTCCCAGGAGAAGTCCACATCATAGGAAAGAAAAAAAAAAGTTTGATAGCACTAATTATTGGGTCTTGGGTCACTAGGTTATACATCTATGTCAAAATTTCATTTAGCCAAGTTTCAAAGTACAACCTATGAATGAAACAGTGCTACATAATATTAAGGCAATATGTTGCCTCTGTTTAAGCTGTAACAGAAATGTTATTACCACAGTTGAAATGGAGACAGTCTAGTTTCTCATAAACTTAAGATTTTAGATAGCAGATGGTTAAAATGGAAAAGTTCCTGGGGGTAAGGAGGAATATTCTATTCAGGAATTTCTAACAAATTATATTATTCAAAAACAGACTGATTTTTGGGACAGATTACAGAGATTCAATATGCTTTAGAATCTTCCACAGAGATTACTTATTTTCTGAATCCAAAATTATTTGAGAAAGTATAAGAATACATTTTGAAACAACAATAGGACAATAAGTCTTCAAAGCAAATCAGGAACCCAAAACCACTTTGTTTGGTCTAACTGAAGTAATAAAAAAAATTCATGTAATGTGTTGACCTTTCACTGATAATAATTTACTCTGCATCACGTCAAATAGAACCAATTTTTTTAAACGTAAACTAAAACATATAGTATGTTCTGCTTTTTTTTTGGTGACAGTTGAGGAAAATATCTTTCAGTGTGGCCATCATAATTAATGTGTTTCTTAATGCTTAGTGAAGTCTATCTGTTCTCAAAATCTGTTGAGAAACACGAAAATCAAAACATGGTAAACCTCAACTCCCAAAGCATGGCGATGCATGCTTGGCAAATCATATTCACTCCTCCCTCCAGCATAGAATGACATTATGGTTACACTGTCGTTATGCCAAAAGCATAAATCACCTAAGTACTGTTACTAGGACTACCTGAGCTTAACCCTAGGGAAACTATGGTACAAATCCAGGATAACTAATGCACAGTATTTGACAGACACAACCCCAGTGCTCTCCACAGGGAGATGAATAGTATAGAGGACTACGCTGAGATTTCAGAGTAGTCAGCTCTCGGGGAGGTATCTATGGATAGGTCGGGAAAAGCCCAGCTCTATACAAAAAAACTATCTCACCATTTCTTTACCTCCTGCCCATCTCCTCCCACACAACAGGCTGGGAGCACTGAGGCGAAGCAGCAATGTCCAAGCAATCACTCTTGGCATCTGTTTAGCAGCAGGGCTAAAAGGAGATGCCCTGATGTCTGAGCATGTTCATGCTCACCCCGTACCCCACTGCTCAGGGCACAGCCGCTATTTTCACAATGCCTGCAGGAACTGAATTTTACATCTCCCTTTAGCGTGGCCGATGCTGGCCAACCTAGTCAAATGTTTTACAGGAGAAGAAAAGAAGTGCCAGACAAACAAAGGGTGACTGCCTAAGTGTCCTCTTCTTAAAAAAAGAGGCTAAAAAAAAATATTCAAAGGCATTCTCCTCTCCTCTGCTTACCAAATAAGATCTTGTTTTCTCTTCTAATTGGAGCAGATTAATTGAATGAGGAAATGGTAACATTTACAGGAGCCAAATAAAGATTCATGTGGATACTCATAAACTTTTCCAGACATCTCTGCCAATAAGCCTCTCTGGTGATTTACAGCATAGTAGAGAGGGATGCTCAGCCAGAGAAGCACTCTTATTTAAATTTAGGGTTGTGCACTGTGTGGACTAACTCACCCTCTGGAATAATTTTCTCTGGAAGAAGAATAAGACTAAATTATTATTATTCTACTTCTCATCTAAGATGCTTTAAAACTGAAATATGATGGGACAGAAAAAGGAATATTCACTTCACAGACTCACAGAATGGTTGAGGTTGGAAGGGACCTCTGGAGATCACCTAGTCCAACCTCCCTGCTCAAGCAGGGTCCTCTAGAGCACATTGCCCAGGATTGTGTCCAGACGGCTTTTGAATATCTCCAGGGAAGGAGACTCCACAACCTCTCTGGGCAACCTGTGCCAGTGCTCTGTCACCCTCACAGGAAAGAATCTTTTTCTCATGCAGTTAGTTCACCTTAAAGAAAGTAAATACAGGTGAAGATACTAGGAAGAAAGGAAAAAGACTCTCATACATATTATTCTACTCTTACTTCATATGCTTACCATTTTAACAAATGAATTATTTTATTCCCCTGGAAAACTACAAATCCTGCAGCTGTGAATCCTAAAAATGTAGTCGTCCCTGTCGAGTCCTTTAAAGAGAAAAAAGAAACATGTAATTTTCCCCTTATCTACTGAGGTACTTCTTACTGATAGTATAAATTCTTACTTCATTATAGTTTACCTGCATTTTATTTTCATTTTAGAAATAAATTTTGCCTGCAGATTATACATTTCTGAAGAGCAAAGACTGCTCTTGGCTGCATAGGCCTCATTCATGTCTAGCCACTTAACTGAGTAACAACATCTTGTGCTTTGCTTTTATTTACTTGTAGCTAATGTCACATAGGGAATCCCTAGGGATATTTACTATTTTGGTGAAAACATACTTCTCTGTATTGTCCCATTCTTAAAAGTGCTGGCTAAATATAAACCAGAGATTCACATCTACTTCAACACTGATGTTTAAGATTTCACAACACCTTGTTCCTTTGTGACATTTCCAACAATTATGTTGGAGGTGTTGCTAACAGATAGCATTTACTACAGTAAGCAAGTACTTATTTCTGGGTGGAAGTCAGAACATCTGGTGATATTTGCCTTTAAATTAGGAAAGATCATTTTTTACTTTCAATTCCACAATAAAAGTTTTGGCTCAAGTTTTTTGAGTAAAGATTCAGGTGAGTTTTATACTAGCTGGCTTTCCCGTCCTTCCCAAGTTCCAGACCCTCACCATGCTAAAGTTAACCTGCCTTATTGTTCCATGTGATCTATCAAGAAAATATGGGTAAACAAAAACAATGATGCTGCTTGGGTAGGAGCCACAGAGTTGCACAGAAAGATGTAAGGGGCCAGGAAAACATCTTGCTTTGCAGCCCACTTCCAAAAAACTGGAATATTTTCCTCAAGCACTCAGCTATGGGCCATGAACCCTGGCATGCTCCGACACTATGAGCCTCCCTGCATGGGCAAAGAGGACATGCTGAACCACTTTGGATTTTGTCAAGTGTCAACATATGTCTCCATGATGCCCTCTGAAAATCTGCAGTATGGTTTGGAAGTAAAGTTTACAAAGTCACTGACTTCAGTGAGCTCTGAACCAGGCCCCATGTCTCATACTAGGAGCATCATTTCTAGCAATGTATATGTGAATTCAGTGCTTTAGATTAGAGCTGACTGTTTAAAGGTGCTCACTATCAGAGCAGCTAAGGAGATAGCATTACATACTTCTGCTGTTCCACCAAAGTAGATGGCATATAAGCTAGAGTACAATCAAAAATAGAAGTTAAAACATGAAGTAGGTAACGTTAAAAACAAACTGCAGATAAAGGCATTAAAAATGCAGGTGTATGGGATATGTATCAGAATGGATAACTAAAATCGCCTTTTTATAGAGAACCACAAAACAGTGAAGTGGTGGAATATCCAAATGCCTAACATGCGTACCCAGTTCTTCCCTTTGTACATTTAGCTTGTCATTCTTGCTAAGATTTGCATATTTTGCTGGTGTTTGAAATATTAACCTAGCAAGGCTTAACAATTTTTTGCAGCTTCTAGAAAACAATAATGCCCTGAATCCTGAAACTCTTGGCAAACACAAAGTATTTCACACCTATAGTATTTACTGAAACCTTTGCAGTAAATACAAAGAAATGATCAATTATAATCAAAGCTTTTGCCGTAATACCCTACTACATTCTCCTGTGATGTTCTACTTCCTCTGGAATGACTTTTTTTTTTTTTTTTGACTGACATGCAGATTTCAACCAGTCAATGTTTTTCCAAGGCTGAAATAAAACTTGCAGTTACAGGGCAGGTTCTTTTTATAAATTACTCTGCGTTTGTGCCTAGATAAAAAACAAAACAAAACAAAGCAAACCAACCAGAGCAACAACAATTAATTTAATGGCTTTTTATTAAATATCATTAAAAAGAACTGTTACCTTGCAAGGATGAGGATCAACACCATAAGTTTCCAAAGAATGTGCTTTCAGGAGCAAGTTAAATTCAGCAACAGCTGGGCTCTGACCTCTGAAATTACACAAGAAACAACAGTTTGACATCAAGAAGAAAACAGGAGAAAAGGGCTTTTTATTGGAAAGTTTAAATCCTTAAAAAAAGAGGAAAGAAAAATTCTACTGAAATATGAACAATTTCAACCAGGTTCTATTTATAATATAAAGATAGGAAACTTTTCATGTGATTTCTGTTGCTGAATTGTCCAATGCCTGATCTTCTCAGGTAAGTTCTGGTGTTTTTTGCTTGTTTCCAGGGTACCAGCAGTTAACCAGAGTTATCCAATATCCTGCAAATATTTGTTATCTTTTGATGCACATGCAAGTCAGCCTGAATACAAAATAAACCTCTGCATCTTTTTTCCACAAACCCTTGCTCCCAAATGCATTTAAAAGGATTGTCCGGATTAACAAACATTCCTTCCAGCTCAGGGTATAAACAAAGCAATCATATTACACTGTCTACTGATATGCATGCCTAATTATAGCAGTACCTGTTACCATCATGATAGCTTAGAATCTGTCAGCATTTCCATTATATGCCCCTATTTTTAGGGTGTCTATAATCAACCATGAACATACACTGAAGCCTGAAACATGGCACGCAAGCCTTGAGTTCTGGAGGAAAATTTTATTACTTCATTTTAGCTCCTCTAACTCCTGCTTTTACAACAAGCCCTAACAGAGATTTGAAATCCCAATTTGTCAATGAAATGTACTGAGTATTATTTTATTTAGATACTTGCATGACTATGGTATGTGATTCTGACAGAAATACTGCTTTGCAACAACGAGCAGCGCTTAGGACCTTTAGAAAGCCAGGCCTCATAAAGGCTTCTCATACAAGTCATCCAGAAAATGAGGCATACACAAATCTTCAAGGAACACAGGAACAGTCATACTAAGTCAAACCCCTGCATTTCAGGGTCCAGTCTCACTCAGGAACGGGAATTCAAAGATAGCTCTGTGCACCCAGGTAGAATAATTGCCCTGCAGTAGAGTCTCTGCTGTTCTTTAATAGCTAGAAACCATCAAACATGGACATATGAGGTTGAGTATCCTCCCCAAAGTTCAGTTTAACTCTAAAGATGATGTCTAGCATACTTGCACATGTCAAATCCTATTTTGAAACCTACCAAACTGATGCCCTGTGGCAATATCAGTAACAATAACCTTTTCTGTCACAAGGTTTTAATTCATGCTTATTTGTACTCCACTGCCTCCCAGTCAGTCCCATGATACTACTTTGGCTTTCTCCATAAGGCTTTTGGTCCTCCTTGTTACTATACTATTTGCATTTTATTTCAGACCGCATTGTTGTTGTTGTTGTTTAGCTTTTAAAGAAAAAACAAACAAGATCAGAGAAGAGGAAGTGCCCTTCTTTCTCCTTCCCTTTTTGGTCTCTGTTTCTCACCATTTTCCAGTGGAGAAGAAAAGGTAACAAGTGAAAAATCAAAAATTATAAACATGCATTTATATAGCTAAATATTGAAGGAGAAGATAGCATGAGAGTTGCAAACAAAACAAAATTCTTTACTTTTTTTTCCCAATCAAAGCTTTTTGATGGCTCTACTAAACTGTTTTTCTCCCCCCTCAACACTAATACACCACAAAAGTAAGCTGTGATAGATTGTAAATGAGCCTTAGGAATGCTACAAGTTTGTTTCATGTACCTACCAACTGCACAGGATAGAAGTAATTAACCAAATTAACCTAAATTACTTAGACTGCTTATGTTGCATAAAGAAAAGCCAAACAAAAATAAGGTTTGATTGCTTAATAGGAATTGGCCCCTTACAGAAAACCAACATCATAAAATGCATTGATTTCCTAACCCTCTTTGCTGGTAGAAAGAAAAGTAATCAGTCTTCTAGTCTGAAAGGACTGAAAAGTGACAGATAGTTTGGAATAATGTGATTTGGCAGTTTTGTTTGGTTGGTTTGGGCATTTCCAAAAAGGAAAGACACTATTAAATTGCAATTATTATTAAAGTAAGGAAACATTAAAAAATGACTAACATGCTCTCCTCATGTGCTCTCCTCATGTAAAACCTCTGACACTATGTGGTCTTTGTGCATATCAAGCTGAATGAACTGTGATACTTGAAAATAAAGCAGAATACATGGACATTTTTGATCTTACTGGATTGCAGGCAAATTGAAATGGCTACTGTGTAAAGCCTTAAATGAGTGCAAAGCAGAAGACTCTTTTTAAAATCAAGTGCAATATCAAATGAAAAAATTCTGATTCATCCCTTATCAAGGGAATAATATCCAAGCCCTGATGATATGCTTTTCATCTCCAACTTAGTAATGAAATTTTCCTTACTAAATAAAAAGGTATCTACAGTAAATCCTATCACCAAAGGAAAGTCAACATTTTATACCAATCACTGATTTAACATTAGATACTCCTTTAATCAGCTTTGTTAAAAAGCCTTTAAAAGTTTCTACTTGCAACAGCCTTACACATAAATATGCAGAGTTTCCTCACCTGTGCAAACGTTTCCACTAATGCCCCTTACAGTGGAAAAACAAGGAACATTGTTAGACAACGCATCTTTGCTATTTTGTAATTCGAGTCTCTCAGGAAAGTCAGGTCAGCATGTACAGTAGCTCCAGCTGACCTTACGTGATTGCCCAACTTATTCAGCATGTATTCAGCATTATATTGACGATGTAGTCCCTTTCCAGATGTTGCAACCATTCTAGTACCCAGGCCCAGAGTGCCAAAGGTTTTGAACAGTGCCCTACTGAATAGGACCAATAACATATTATGTAGAAAAGTTTCTGTATACCACACAAATAATAAAATATGATTATTTGTGAAATAAGAGCTCCATAGCTATTAGCTGTGACTTAATCATTCACCCTAGGATTCTATCAATCTAAATATTCCTAATAAAATTTTAATGAAAAAATACTTTAACAGAAGAGTGAGAAATCTGCACCATGTTCTATTTTTTCCATTAGGATCATGACAAATACACACTAGAGGATATACAAGCTCTGTTTATTCCCCAAAGGGCCTCCAACTCTGAAGCTTTTCAGAGGCCAGGAAGCTCAGTGGGGAATAGTTTCCAGGATGTGCCACAGAAATGATCTGCTTGTTTTGCTAGCTCCTCGCACCAATTCACTCTAGAATTTTTCTCCCCTTCATTCCTCCCATTTGAGGTATATATCTGTCACTGAAATTAGTCAAAGTCAAGAAGGAGATGTCATGGGATTATTGAGCCTTAATTCCTTTAAAAGAATAGAAAAGTTTATATAGCATTAACAACAAACCAAAACACATTCTCAATGTAATTCTCTGTAGCTGGCTTCCTGAATGACCCTGGTCAAGTCACTTCATTTACCTTGTCTTACTGATTTATGAAGTATTGAGACCTGCTAATAAAAAGCATAATTATTGCTCATCCTTTGCCTCATCTCTATGGCACACAAAGTTACCTGCTACAGAATACAATACCACTACATTTCCTTAGCATGCCCCATCATTTTCTCCTCAATCTTGCCTGTGAGGGGGAAGGATGGGAGGAGGAGTAGACGGATTTTCCAAGTTAACAACTGGCTGCGCTGCTGGTGTTGGCAACTGGGCTTTGGTTTCTATGACCATGGGACCCTGTTTGAAGATCGACAGCTGATGGAGAGAGATGGGATCCACCTCACCAAGCAGGGCATGTGTGTCTTTGCCAACAGGCTGGCCAGCCTGGTAAGGAGGGCTTTAAACTAGGCAAGATGGGGGAAGGGGAGTGGCATAGAGACAGGGTAGTCAGTAAAACACCATTCTAGTCAGGATGCCTCCAGCAGGTGCACGCAGCTGGTGAAGTGTGCATGGGACATGGCTATGGAGGATCCTCTTGCAGCCCTCCTGGGAAACCTGCATGCTCGGATGCCTCTCTGAAGTGCCTGTACACCAATGCACACGGCATGGGGAATAAGCAGGAAGAACTAGAGATCTGTGTGCAGTCGCAGGGCCGTGATCTCGTTGCAGTTACAGAGACATGGTGGGATAGCTCACACGACTGGAATGCTGTCAGGGATGGATACATAGTCTTTAGGAAGGACAAGCCAGGAAGGGGAGGAGGGGGAGTTGCCTTTTATGTGAGGGAGCAATTGGAATGTATGGAGCTCTGCCTGGGGGTGGATGAAGAGCAAGTTGAGAGCCTATGGGTAAGGATTAAAGGGCAGGCTAACATGGGTGACATGGTTGTGGGGGTTTACTGCAGGCCACCTGATCAGGAAGAGGAAGTAGATGAGGCCTTCTACAGACAGCTGGAAGTAGCCTCATGATCACAGGCCCTGGTTCTCATGGAAGACTTCAACCACCCTGACATCTGCTGGAGGAACAACACAGCTAGGCACAAACAGTCCAGGAGGTTCCTGCAGAGCATTGAGGATAACTTCCTGACACAGGTGGTGGAAACATCAACAAGGAGAGGTGTGCTGGTAGACCTCGTGCTAACAAACAAAGAAGGTCTAGTTGGAGATGTGCAGGTTGGGGGCAGCCTTGGCTGCAGTGACCATGAGATGGTGGATGGAGTTCAGGATCCTACGAGGAGGCAGCAGGGCAATAAGTAGGATTGCAACCCTGGACTTCAGGAGAGCAGACTTTGGCCTCTTCAGGGACCTACTTGGAGGAATCTCATGGGGTAGGGCCCTAGAAGGAAGAGGGGTCCAGGAGAGCTGGTTAATAT